GCCCCCGAAAGCTATTTTGATTTTTATGTATGTATTGCATTGAATATTTTCTAATTTTTCTGAGTTAAATTATTAATAAATGAAATTTTGATTCTACGTACGTATGGAATGAAATTATATTTATATTTTTTGTAAAATGTAAATGAGTAGATTTTTTGGTCAAAAAAATAAGAAAAAAAATGTCGCGGAGCTTCTCCCCGTGCGCGCACGGGAAGTTCGGAATTTTTTTTAAAAAAATATTTAAAACTGGGCAAAACAGAATAGTTCCAACTAAATATTCATGCAATTACAATACTTTCTTATTCCAATTATTCTCGAAAATCTGCAGAGCTAACTGAGGCCAAGACTAACGACAAAAGAGGAATTCATTTCTATTTTAGATGATTTGCATATTTAGTACCTTAGTTGGCTTCCTATAAGCACATGGAAATTAATATGAGCAGAAAGGTGTTAGTCTCATGATCAAGAAATTATTATGCAATAGTTAAATACATTTAATTTGAGATATGTCAAACAGAACATCACAAAAGACTTTATTTTACAATTGAAACGTAGAATCTCATGTACACAATGATGCAGGAAAAAGAAAACTAAACTTGACAATTGTTTTTCCACTTCACACTGATACTGAGACCAAGCAAGAGGAAGCCAAATATATAATAACAGAAAGAGGAAGTCGGTTTGCAGAACTTAGGTCGGCAAATTTTTTTGACATTTCACCGCCTACTTTTTTGAAGAGAAAGAGGAAGTCGGTTTGCTGAAGTTAAGTCGGCAAATTTTTTGGACATTTCACTGCCTATATTTTTGACTCCAGAAAGAGGAAAGAGAGGGATAACATGGGAAAAGGAAAATATGTCCTAAATGAACAGTGCACGAAGGATTGCCTCTTCTAATAGAAGAGGGATTTCCTAGGAAGCTCTACCAGACAGGCTTTGTTTCAAAGTGAAAAATCAGATGTCGCATTGAATACCACTCAACAGTTCACGGATTACCAACTTAACGATTTTTAAGTTACCAAATGGTTGTTACTTAACTATTTTTATTTTTGACCATATGTGTGGAATTAATCAATCAAAAGAAACAATTCACTTTTAATTGTGTCTAGATGATTAAGCATACAAGTCCAATTATTCTATGTTGAATTGTCACAATAATAAGAAAAGCAGTAAATAACACATTATTGATGACGGAGAATCCCAACTTGATAAAAACTTCAAGGCCAAGCCAATTACCTCCACTATAGACAATAAAGAGTGAGTTACAGTCAGATGCTATCTAGCCAACTCCACTAGACTTCTCGATCTATTTTTTGCTAACTCCAAGGTCTGCTCCAAGACATGCTCCAAGATCTTCCGCAATTGTCTTTTTCAAGTGGAATTCCAAGAACCTGCTACAAGGCCTTATGCTCTTCCTGCCCTTGTAGTCCAACATTTCTCAACCTACAACAACCTCTGAAATTCAACTGAAAAAGTGTCTTCCCAAAAATGTTTAGGAAGTAGCCAAGTATGTGTTATGGATTCAATGGATTTGATGTTTTTCCCAATCATGTGGTTGTATAAAATTAAGAGAAAATAAATTATAGCAAAGAGGTACAATGAACAACCACCTCAATTTTCGTGCATAGGCTTGGATGTTTATATGAGAAGGTAATTAGGTTAATAAGCCGAAAAAAATACTTCGAAACATCAGCGACAGGCGAGCGACGCACAATCGCTAGAAATGCGAGCGACAGACATTCTGTTTTTGTCGCTTGAGCGTCAACTGGATAAGAAGTTAGCGAAAATGTGGAATCGTATTTCTCATCTTTTCATGCTCAAACCCTAGACCTCATAACCTAATTTGTATAAATTGCACCCTAAGTCCTTGGCTTATACAACACGTTACAAATTAGTCATTTTATCCACAGAATTATCAACACTAAAAACCTAACAAAATCCTCCCTTGACATTATGTGACAAAACTATACAATTAGTCAAGAAAAACTAAATACAAAATCTAAACT